TAAGTCACTAGTATCTATCAGTAAAATTTTAATATTAAAGAATCATCATTACTGATTGTTACTGATGCGCTGGTTCTTTTTTAATTGTAATCATCTTTACACACAGTAGAAGCAACAGTAGTGTGTTTCGTAAAGCTTACCCAAGACCATTAATTCTCTTGAAGTGCTTTACACATCTCTCCTATTCCAAAATAATAAGAATAAAATGTTTTCTCTTTACTGATCTACTGCATTTAAAAGAGCATACATACAGAATCTATCATGTACATCCAGACACCTACACCTCTCTCTCTTTCCCCATTCAGCCATCTCCCAAGGATTTCTCAACCCTCCCACTAATAGCTTCTGTCCAACATCGTTTTTTTAAACCAGCCTGCCACAAAACTATCTGCATCTCATACCGTTCAGCCTCAAAACCTGCTCGTGCATGATACAATCCAGGAATACATATAGCATACGACCCATTTATATAGCACCTAGGTAACACATAATAAACTTGGAAGAGATAATGTTAAGTATTATTTTTAAACATCGATCTTTCTCTCTAAGGCATCAAATAAACCCAACTTTGTCAATTATAACAGCTGTCCTTCTGAAGGAGGACAGATTAACCCGCTAGAGATCAGAAAACTCATCTGATTCTTGAGGGAGAAAAGAAGGTGTTATGCTTAAAAACCACAATCTCTCAGTGATGGCATAACACATGCCATCACACAGGTACAACTCTTTAGGGGCTCAGGTGCAAGGCAAGAAGCCCTTTGCCAGCACTGCTCTAAATTCAGTGACAACAGCTCTCCACACAACCAAACAAGTGTCATAGTGGCATCTCATCCTAACTTCTGGTGACATTTCCCACCCACTCAGCATATTGCAGTTCCCTGCACATGTTGTGTTACCTTTCTCTGCCCAATTAACACAAAGTGAAGCATTCTTACTGATGTCAGGATGCCTGTGACTATCACTCAAAATTAGCGCTACCTTCAACAGTGCTAGGTGGAGTAACTCTACTTTTCTGCTAAAGCTGAAGTGACCACTGCCCTGCTGTTCTCTTATCCACTTTATGCCATGTTCTAGGGAAGCAGAAGACGAGCTAAAGCAAACAAACTGAGCTACTGTTTTCAAGGATGTGAAAGAAACTGAGCCTGCACCTTTTTCACCACAGGAGGGAGAATAGCAAAGCAGAAAGAGCCCAACATCTCCAAATAGCTCTTCTTACTCCTTGCCCTTCCCCCTCTTAAATAAGGGCTTCTGTCCTCTTGGCCCCTCTGGTACCAAAGTTCCCTGTCTAGCTGTTGAAAAGGCAGCTCCTTCGTTCTGTTCCAGGTTGCTCTGTTCATTCTACACACCTCACTGCAGCAAAACGCCTCTTCTCCTCAAACATGAAACTTAATTTTAAAAGATCACAGTGAGGACTTAATCCAGCATCACTGACATCAGTTATGTGATAATCAACTGGAAGAAATAATCTCTATTACAATTTTTTTTTTTTATGAGTAATCCTTTAAATCTTATGAAGAACATTTTCCCAGCCCCTAACATACATAGATAGTGTGTGCCTGTGGAATTGTATATTATTTATTATAATACTTACTTAGAATGCTCTAACAAAAAAAGATCAGGTAAAGATTAGATGCACAAGTTCACATATTATGGACTCTTTGAAGGAAAGACTGTTTTCACGCCAGCAAAACAAAATTGATGCTTGTAGCATTGATAATTCATTAGTTTTATTACAGGAATACCTCTCTGACAGCCCTCTGAAAGCATAACCAAATTACTGAGGCCATTAGAAGAAAAAAAAACAAACACATTCAAACTAGGAAAAATACAAAGTTAAAGTTGCATGTACAACCTTAATTCATCTCCGTTCCATCGTCAACACCACAAAACGCTAAGAACCCTATCTGTAGTCTCCACTACTAGCATCTGTAAACTGCTGTTGCTATGTCAGCATTATAAGCAAAGGCACCACGCTTAGACAAGAATATGGAAAACTGAGTATCAAGAAAACAAACTGTAAATGGAATATAATAATTTATTTTAAAAACACACTACTTGAATGATTTATCGCTGCCTCCTGTAGATACAGCTGTGAAGGTGTCAAGAAGTTACTTAACTAAAAATCTGGCATGTGTTCCTTACTGCTCTATTATTTTTTTTTTAAATGTGATCCTAATTGCCAAAAATGAGGAGGAGGGATGGGCATTACTTGCCTTGGAGTTTGGAGGAAGAGAAGTATTTTATTTTATTCCTATCCATCATATGTACCAAGAAAGAGTACTCTGAAACTAATGTATTATTTTTTGGAACAAATCACTGAAATGCTAGGTCTTGAATACCGTAATTCATTTCTAATTTGTTTTGATGATTAAAAGTATCCTTCACAAAAGATCATTACCCTATTTACCCCATTGAGCATTTTAGTTTTACAGAGCTGAGCTACAATGCATGAAAGATATTAAATGAAATCCAAGAGAAAGAAATGCAGATGATCAGATAACAGCAGTAGGCAGAAGGGTCATACTGTGCTCATTTCTCCTCGAGGCCAGTGGCAGATTTCCCTTGCGGTGGTCCTAGGTACAGAATCAGGAATTAGACTAACTTCTTCCCTTTTGCATCTGAACAAAAGGATTCAAAATTTTCCACCTTGAAACTCACATTACTGTGGGTTTTTAAAAACTGAAACTCTTCACTCTTTTGCTGTGGTAACAGGACCCAGTAGGAGCTCTTCATTAGCCTGATTAAGTCAGTCAAAATCAGTGTAAAGATTTCAAATAAATTCACTGGGCTTTGGGTCAGCAATTATCCTCAAATGTGAACTAAGTAGACATACAGTTCAGAGGAAGTAATCTTGCAAAATTCCCCGCTCTTCCTTTACCCTCACTGACTTCACGTAGAGTTGAGTTTGGGGCATCACATCCTCGATCTTTCACTGAGGTCTAGGATCATTTAACAGAATATCAGGTACAGTTGAAAGCTGCAGTGGGTTTAGTAGTAACTGGACTGAGATCCTTTCCACATGCCATATGAAAACAATTTGACCTTCTACCTGCTGGGATATGTTTCTGAAATATCTACCTAGCAGACTTATTCAGGGTCTTAAGAACAGAGCTGTGTTTTTAGGTATCATTCTTTCTGATACCTAAAATCAGAATTTTCAAGTCTAAATTTAAAACCATGTTTCATTTTTACACCTCATGAATATAAAAATAAGATAAAGAAGGGTCAAAATAAAAACACCCCTGGATATTTGAGCTATTTATTAACTTATTCACAGGACTTCATTTTCTTACCTCTGCCTTCCCCAAAAGCCACTTCCCCCACACTGACTGCCCTGATCAGTCCCATTTACATCAACAGGAGCACTTTAAGGGTAAGGTATGAATGAGAGCAGCAGAACCAAATATTTTCTAAGGCAGGGTCTCCATGGTTGATTGCAGCTGATGTGAGCTGCCCTGCCACAAGCCACTTAAAATCTACAGGCAGGGTTTATTAGTTTAGGTTTAGCATGGCAGTAATGCAATTACTGGGGGCAGAATGACTGCCTGCTGTCTAGAGGGAAGATGTATGCTAAATATGCTATGTTTCCGGAAATATCCTAGACCTTAATCACTCAGCAATTAGCGTGGTTAAGGAAATGGGTTCTTAATTTGTCTGGCTCCAGCAGAGTTGTTTTTCAGGTCAGCTGAATAAGATAAGGTTTCTACAAGAAACATTTCCACCTCAGAAATTAGATCAAAAGTGATCCTGAAACAGCCAAGCACAGTAGCCAGAAACAAAGCAGGTCCAGCATTTAAGAAAATGACATTATGCCCGTTCCCCACCTTTGCATGGTCAGTAAGCCAGGAAAATAGGACCTTCCTACAGACCACTGGACCTGAGCTCGTTTGATAGCGGATAGTGGATTCAGCTCCATTTTCTGGACAAACAGATGAGCCAGATATAGCATAGCCAGATAATGGACCACCCTGGACAATATTGGTAGTGTGACACGGTGGACTATTTAAGCGCATTAATTATCCCTCTTGAGCCTCTCTAGATTGTGTAGTCCAAGCTGCAATCCTAAACTGCCTGTCTGCATTCGCACCAGGACGGCAAGTGCTGAACACCCTCACAGACTTGAAGAGGTCATAATACCCCAGCTCTAGCTTGGTAGCACAGACAGAACCAATAAGCCAAGCTAGACCTGAGCTGGCTCCATGTGGAAATTCCAGAAGTCGGTCTGTCTCGTATTCCTCCTCTTTTGGGAGGATACGATGGGGAATCCATTGAGTCTCAGAACAGCCAGCCTGAGTCCATCAGGATTATTCATCCCAGCTCCACACCTCAGCCAGAAATCCCGCCACCCCTGCAAGCATATATCACCTGCACCTCAGACAATCCACTGCATGTAACTGCTGGCCGAGCGCAGAGAGAGAGCATGTCCTAGAGGCCCATGAGTCGGGAGGACAGGATTTGACATGGTGTTCTGCTTTAAACTCCATCTAAAGCTCTCTATGCCTTATTTCCAAAGCTGTAAAGTGGCAACATCACTTCCTTTCCCCCCCATTCACTTTCTAACTTAGCTTCTTACAAATGGTTGAGAGCAGGAACAATCTCCCACTGCACACACCTACAGTGACTGGTGCAACAGGCACAGCTGTGCATCAGCCACATCCTCCAGAGAGCAACAGTATTGTCCCTCAGCTCCCTTGTAACCAGCAGTAAGGAGCTGGTCTTATCTGTAGGCACCTTAGCTGAGTGTTGCTACCACAGATGTTACTCTCACGCAGAAGGATGGGGTTTGAATTTTCACTGAGACTTCTGAGATTAGCTTGAGGTATTTGGACATGTGCATTCAAGTATTACTGAGCGTCTCACACAGTGGGGTGAGGATGTGGGCTGAGGAACAAAACACCAGTGATCCTTTTCCTCTCACTTTGCCTGTCCCTGTTATGTTGAAAATAATATAGTGTGGCATTTTTCACATAAATCTAATGAAAAATTTGTTTTTCTTTCAGCTATGATGAGTGTGTGGGGCCAGGAGCAACACAGATATATATTCCTACAGATGATCCCCCCCCATATTCTCTTATGGACCCTTGTCAAAGAAATGAAATATCTATAAACATTAGCCTGGACGAGGAGGCAGCATCTGGGACTACAGAACAGGCTGCGAATTATGCAGTCAGACTGCAGGACTTGCAGCAGCCTATTTCATCCATCTCTTTGTCATCTCTTACTTTGGAGGCTGCTCCCCTGTATGAGACGGTGGTGTGTGAACAGAATATTCCCATTCCACTGGTTCCAATGGATGTACTGAAAAATTCCTCCACTGACTATCAGACCCTTCTGAACCAAATCATGTGAATAAAAGTGACTTTTCCCTTCCATTCTTCTGAAGGACTAGACTGAGAAAAACATTTAAATGGAAGAATATAACCTCTGAAAGTTTTATCTATTTTATATCTTTAAACAGGGATGTAATGGGATTTTTTTAATTTTTACAGCAAATTTTGAAAGTTTATCCAAACTTCCCTCTTTGTGCTTCGAAGTGTTCCCATCCCACAGCATAAAACAGCAGAAATGACAAGCAGCGCATCTGACCTTTTTGAAGCATTCCAAAACACATTGAAATCAGCAACTCTTAATGTAGATACAGGTTATCCAGTCAAGCCCACCTGTTGATTTTATACTTTGCATGTTGCAAAGCAAAAGGAAAAAGAAGAGCATTTTGTTGTCTTTGTAAGCATCACTAGTACATTACATTAAATATCTTGGCAACAAGAGAGAAGCACTTTAAAACAATTCTTTGTCTAAGTATTTCAGTAGCCAGAGACAGAATACCGCCTGCAAAACGTAAGTACCACATAAGAACAAAAGAAAAAGGAAGATCTTAATTTGATGTTCAAATCTTCCTTTGTATTGTCTGGTCAGCACCAGACCTTCCAGACCATTCCAAAGCCTGCTGCAAGTTTTCCTCAAAAGAAAACAATGGCAAGCAATGGAGAGGTGGCAATGGATCCCCAAAATCTATTTGGCTTTCCCCACAAAGGCCATGCTTCCACTGTATGCAGGCTTGGTAGCCATACACCCTTCATGGTGATTTGACACAGCCAGGGGAAGGGCTGTATCTGAAATCCCAGATGATGTTTCATGCTGATTCTCATCGTGCATGACTGCATTTTCAGGCATCAACTGATCTCTTTCTTCAGTAAGAAGCCTATAGTGTTACTAAGGACCTTGACAAAGGTTCCCTCTAGTAATTGCAAAAGTGTGACATAAATAATAGATGCTGAACCTGGCATGCCCAGTAACAGAGAATTTCCCTTTGTGCAGAAACTCCTTTTATTAGACAGGATCTGTTTTACTCAGATTTTGCTACCTGTAAATCTAGCACCTGTTCATAGACCTGGACTCCTTGCACATTCATTTGATAAACGCATAAAAATTGGAGATGCATACAAGCAGGAACAGCAGAGGGAAACTGCAGACATGAGAGCTTAACCTTGCATGGTGCACAAGCACACTGTCTCCACATAAGCACTAAACCACATTCTCAGCCAGTGTCAGTTAGCAGAGTTGCCAGGTTCATCTGCATCAAATCCCTTAGAGGTATTTTCACGGAAAAAAATTGTTTCATTTTTACACTAATAGAATGGACTTCAGTTTATTACCCCCCACTGAAGGATATGTAAAAAGGAATATGGTAAATATTATAACTGTATTTAAAAGGAAGCATCATCCAAACTAATAAAATTGCACCTAGGTTTTCTGCAGATACTAAATAATTTTCTACTGTAATCATCACTCAATACTCCAAGATTGACACAATTATAATACCTAGATGGGAAGTAATTATATGGTTCTTACTGCTATGTAAGTTTTATTATTATTGAGTCATATGCACGTGAAAGGATAAGGTAAGTTTGCATTTTTTGCTGAGTAGATAAGGGTTGATATGCATTTTGCTAACAGAGAATTCTTTCACAGTTCAGCAAGATTTTCAGCGTTCCCAGTATACTATATCCAAAGCAACAAAAATTCACAATTTCACATTGAAAAAAACTGCTAGTAGGCATTGCCAGCATGAAAGCTATATTTCACATTTGGATTTTGTAAGAGACAGAACTATTAGCCTGCATAAATTTCCAATTTCCAGTTGAAACAGCTGTGCTGGATACAAGGTACCAGAGAGGGACAAAACTCTACAGGATTGTATTAGGGCCAGAAAAGAAAACCAATGTAGAAGCATTCTAGTCAGTTTTATTGGTACAGAAATATAATGAGAAGCAAAGCAGAGAGGTTTGCTTATGCAGAATAGGACCTGCTGTCATAGCTGTGTCTTCCTGCAGCCCTTGCAGACCTGCCTAGAGCAGGGATGAGGCACTGGGACGAGGCCCTACTTTCCTGGGACTGCTATGCGGAAAAGGGATGCAGAGGTGGGGGGCAATCTGCTAAACAAATAGTAGAAAACAAATATGAAATGAGATTTTTTTTTTAAAAAAAGAGAGTCTCTCCTTTAACTATAACATGGCAATCCTGAAGGTTCTTCTCCAGATAATAAAGGGCTTTTTATGTCCGGCCTCTACTCTGTTACACATGCCTACAGTTTCTGTGCCTTTTGGAAAATCCTTTTGACTGTTTGGCTTTTAACATGACAGGAATTGCATGCCCTTCTACCAACTTTCCATCTGCAGAAAAGAGGCAAGATTTTTCAAATATCTAATTTTAGGCAGGCCTCTGATGAAAATGGGAGATTTGTATTCTACCTCCTGATAAAAATGTTTGCAATACTAAAATTGTGGAAGACTAATCCACAATCAAAAAAAAAGACTCCTATGAAGAAAGACTGCAAGAGCTGGGCCTGTTCAGCCTGGAGAAGAGAAGACTGAGAGGGGATCTCATCAACGTGTACAAGTATCTGAAGGGGGAGTGTCAAGAGGATGAGGCCAGCCTCTTCTCCGTGGTGCCCAGCAACAGGACAAGAGGCAATGGGCAGAAACTGAACCACAGGAAGTTCAATCTGAACCTGAGAAAAAACTTCTTCACTGTGAGGGTGACAGAGCATTGGAACAGGTTGCCCAGAGAGGTGGTGGAGTCTCCTTCCCTGGAGATATTCAAAACCCGTCTGGATGTGATCCTGGGCAATATGCTCTAGGTGACCCTGCTTGAGCAGGGAGGTTGGACTAGATGATCTCCAGAGGTCCCTTCCAACCTAAACGATTCTGTGATTCTGTGATTCTGTGATTCTGTAATCGAAGTCTTTCTTCATTTGATAAGAGTTAAGAGATCCTTAGTACTGTAGATACTGGATTTTACTTAGCAGCATTATTTACAAATAATTGTCTATTTTATAAAGCAGTATACCACATGAGGGAGTAAAGTCCTCTGCAACACAGAGCTCACAACAAGGCAGCCATCCATCAAAATATACCCAGCTTCTTTGTCACAGAGATATGGAAGCCAGTCAGAACATACACTTCTGTGCTCATATGAAATACAGAAGCAAGGTATATAATACTACTGGTGTGGTCCTTCATAAGCAATGATTATACTTTCAAGGAAAAAAGTATGAATACTGTGGCATTTCTGTAAGTTAGCACTAAATGCATAGGTAGGTTATCTTGATAGAAAAGTTTGTATAGAAAAACACTTGATGTCTGAATATGACATAAAAGGTTACTCCATTCATTTTATACAATATATTTGAAAAGCAAACTGTCAATTAAAAGTGTGCTATCTTCAGTGACACCTCACCAAGATCGCTTACAAGAGTGACTTAGTATTTTCTACTGCTGTTAATCTTTTTAACTGTATGATATCCAATAAAGTTATGAAAATAGTTTATAAATCCAATCTATACACCACTGCAGACAGATAATAATACTACAAAGCGAAGTTTGCAGCTGTAAAGCTGCTCTAGCATCTTCCATTGCTACTACCAGAATAGTGCTGAGATTTCTTTTAATGATGCAGTAAGAACATAGTTTTTATTTCTTAAAGAATGTTTAAGATTCAGGATAAATCTCACCGAAGTTGACAGAGCCTCTCCCAAGTTTAATGGGAATCAAATTAGACTCTAAGAAATTCCTGTCCTGCTATTAGTTTATTAGTTTTTATCCAAAACTCTCACGCCATTTTAAAGATTGTCCTAAAAATCAGGCTGAACACAGTCCTTTCATTTATTTCATGACTAATGTCAGAAAGAAAACTGTTTGGACGTGCTAAGTGCTAATAACACTGTATTTCTGTGGTCATCTCTTTTGCTTAAGCTTTTAAGTATACTGATCTTTACATACAAATTTTAGTAAAGAACTAAATTAATTCCATACAACTCCTGTGCTTTTTAATTGTGTCTGTATCATTTTGGGACTATCCACAGTCTTTCCCTGCCTATTAATCAGCTCGATTATGCAACATCGCAGTTCAACCACATACAGTTGTTAGGGATCACAGGACTAGGGTGATCCCAAATCCTCTCTCATGTACTGGAGCAGTTCCATGGGGCTGCCAGGTCCCCAGGCACAGCACGTGAGGCAGTGCGTGCCCAGGCGGGGCCTGACCAGCACAATGCTGCAAGAGCAGGAAGGGAAGATTCGCCACCCTTGAGCAAAACAGGCATTTCGAGAAGCAGTAAAAGCCATTATAAACACGTTCATGGCTACCTTTGAAAATTACTAAGGTTAGAAAACTGGAAATGGCAACATACTACCCATCTTGAAGAGGAAAAGCCAAGAAATAACAGGCTAGTCTTCTAGTCTTCCCAGAAAGATTCAAACAAATCATTTTTAAGCACAGCAAGATAAAAAAGAGGCAATGTGTATCTGTGGAGAACAAACCACACCAACCTGATCTAACTGGTTACCAGTTTTATATGGCCAAACTGCCATGGACTTGTCAGATTACAGGAGAACATCTGAAAATTAGACCAAGCTGGGCTAAATGTAAGCCATTTATGCCAGGCTGCCAAAAAACAAACGCACACTTACAGCCTGGGAAATTAAACAGAACTGCTATTCCTGAAATATTCAAAACTCTCCACTCACTGCTGGCAACACCTCAGTTTGGAAACTGGGTCCAGGCTAAGGCTCCAAAAGTCAAGAAGGAGGCCGACTAACTCAACTGCCCGGAGGAAAGGAACAGGAAAGTTAAAAGGCCCATTTTTATCTTTTTTTTTTTTTAAATCTCTTGCTTTTGTATGACTGAGAATAGAAAGCTGTTCACCACCACCATCTAGAAATGAGATACTAAACCATAACTAAGAAGAAGTGCGGAATTTGTATTTTACAAAGAGCAGAGAAAGAAAAATTTTGTATGTTACCAGGAACAGGAAGGCCACGTTTCTGTCCTCCCCTTGTGGTGGAATTCAGTATGTCATCCCTTTATCACTATCTTGACAGCATCTGACACTGCTTCACGGCCTGGTTGTACCTTTGTTGCTTATTATTAACAGCTTTCCAGAGCCTTGATGTCGTCCCAACAACCCTCTGGGAAAAGAAGATTCCCAGACCAGATCACATTAGCAATCCACTAAGAACCGCATGAATTCTAACATCATACTGTTGTCACAGCAAACAGCTTTCAGTGAAAATACTCATCATTGCAATTGCATCCAAGCACCTCTTGGATTTTACTGTGACTCACCCCAATGAAGGTAGAGAAGCTCTAGCTCCACTAAAGTGATGTGCTATGTGAGAAGTGGGAACTGTAGACAAATCATAAATTAAAGTCCATGTTTTCTGAAACCCCAGCAGCATCCCTTGCATTAAAACTTCTTCACAACCTCTTCCTAGCAAAGCGCAGTTTCGTTTTCCTCAACTCACAGTAACGCATGCTTGAACACTGGCTACTGAACCAACAAACATACGATAAATTCACAGGCCCTGTTTCAAACAGTCCACGTGCATATTCTCACTCCCATTAGGGCAAGAAAAGGTAATGCGCAAAACAGCTTCCATATCCAGCAGAGGCACAAAGTTAAAGCTCTAAGGAGCCTGGAGGTATGCAGGGTGGGCCATTCATGTTTTGGATCCGATTCTTTACACTTCTTGTGCATCTCCTATCGATGTTGTTTCAGTAACCTTTTGTTAAAATCAGCCCACTTCAATCGAAAACGTCAGATATGTGGCCTGGTGCTATTCACTGGCTATTGGCATAATATCTTTTGAATTCCAGGGAAATGACAGTTCGTATGTACAGCTGGAAGCTTCCTTTCTACTGAATTGCTACTCCTTCTCTCTTAGGACTAATGGCCAGGTTTTTGCCTTGCTCTGCTCAAAAGAAAAAGAAAGAAAAAGAAAGAAAAAGAAAAAAAAAGGGGGGGGGATTACACTATCACAGTTTTGCTCCTAACAGGAGTTTATAGGTTAAAGCCACTAATAACCAAAATAGTACATCTAGAAAGGAGCAAAACATCTTTGTAAAACATTGCAAAGCTGCTGTTAAAGACGACTAGTGAAACAGGAGAGTGCACAGCGCAGAGAACTGCAACTGGCCTTTGGGGCAGCTGTTTTCACAGAAAAGCACTCTGCCCTGTTGGAAATGATGGGGCTGGTACCACACATACTGAGGAAGTGATCAAGCTAGTCTTTTAGAGAATGGACTTTTAACATATTAGGATCTTCAAAAAAGGGAACGGAAATCCCATCCTTGGCGGCTAGGAGACTTTCAGAGACTAACAATACAGTGATAGCTAGATAGATAAAGTGACTCAGTACTTACTGTATTATGCAAATATACAAACATGCGTTATGGAAGAGTGAAGTGCTCCAAAGAACCAGCAACAAAGCAAGATTCCCTGTACCATTCTGCTAAAATACTCCAAAATTTAACAAAATGCAACTATACTACATGTGAAAGAAAATTGTGAAGGTTAAAGAATGCAGTCTTCCCTGTGGGAGTCAGCGTGCAGAAATGTGAAATCAGACCCTCTGATTTGGGTCAATAAAGTTTTGCATATGGTGAAAAAAGAGTTGAGCTGCCTGCAGGCACCCTACTGAGAGCAGAGCAAAGCTTGTCTGCGTATGCATGCACATATGGTAGAGGAAGAAACTCAGACATTGCAGCAGATGGCCAGATGGCCTCATTTTAATGTGTGGTGGTAGCATGGGGATTTTTCCCCCCCTCCCTCTCAGCTAGATCAGCAATTTTTATATAGCAATTATCCATACATGACTTCTACAAAAGTATTTCCTAATGACATTTCACTTGAAATGACAATCAAAAACATATGTTTTTGGAAAGCTCTTTTGTCTGAAAAGTCTGAATTAAAACCAATTCATTTGTAACACAGCACAGTCTCTTTCCAGAAAAGAAAGAACTAGGACTGTGTTCACCTGAACCTGACATTTCCCTTACCAAGGGAAACCATACATTCCAAGTGGTTAACAGGACAACAAATATGCATTTTTAAATCTGTCAAACAACAAGGAAAATCCATAGTAAGATGGTCCATTAAGAAACCATTAGGTCAAACTCACACTTGCAGCAAGTTACACAGTAGAGGCACAGCTGCAGATACAAGCCCAGCCACTCTGTAAGACAAGTTAGGCCCATGGGGAGGCCCTTAACAGGGCCAATTTATGGGATCACACAGGTGCACAACATTATCACAGCCAGAGGAAGTGACACTAAGACCTAGGTTCCAAAAGCAGGATTTGCAAAACTGAGATCAGGCTTGTCTTCCACCTGCAGGACCTCACTTCCATTTCAAATAGGGCCTGGAAAACTTCCCACCCAGGGCAGAAGCTGAAAAAGCCCCAGCCTCTCTTACCTGACTCCAGTCCTGGCGCTCGGAGACCAGGAACGGGACCCCGAGGAGGCGATGCAGCGCAGGGCTGCCTGGCGGCACTCCCACCGCCCCCGTGGGGCCTGCCAGGCCTCGGGAGGAGGCAGAAGAGCAGGGACCGCGGTGAGAAAAGAGAGACTGGGGCAGGGAAGGCAGCAGAGGC